TTGTTAGGCTAAAGAACTGCGAAAGTGTAATTTTTCCAGAGAATTCTTAGGATCGTCACTGAGACTACGGAGTTCATGTTTTATGCGAGTCTCTCAGCAGACAGCAGAGCCATGTGGGATACAACCAGGTGCAATGAAGTCAATCCCCTCGAATTTAAAATGACATAAATCGACACATACATGTTCGGAATATACAAGCCGCTAATTCTTTCCCTATAAACGTGTTGGCTGTACCAGTCCTCGCTCGGCGTTAATTACGTTACGTGTTTCATTCGTCACTTTGCAGGCAGGGTTATCAAATGCTTACCAAGCAGTCACAGTTTAGCCACGCAAAGCCTTTGTGGCCCTGTCGCACCTGCATAGCTCCCTATAACCGTCGAAAACTGTTGGTGTTTTTTCTTTGCTGTCCTCTTCCTATCGGGTGGCTGTTCTCAAGCGCCCTCACCCCAAACAGAGTCCATCTTCGTTTATGGTTTATACAACGGATCGTCGTCATAGCACAACGGCAGAAACGCATTAATGCTCAGTTCTTCTTCTAACTTCTAAACGAAGAATCTCAGCACCATGGCACCGGCGAGGATCCTAAAATACTTTGGATAGATTTTTAACTCAAAATTTTGCCCAGGCTACTCTTTTCGATTTGCAACTGCCAAAGGATTTTTTACTCGCGCAACAATACACACGGGCGTCTGGTCTACACAAAGACCAGGAGAAAAAATGCCGCTGTGTAAAAAATCTGCTAACCAGCGATGATGAACCAGCGTCCTTGCACACGGTTATAATCCATAAGTGCTCTGCCACCAGTACAGACCGCTGATAAGAAACTGCCCGCCTGTCTCGCTGCCCGCCTGTCTCGCCGTCCGCACGAAACTCCGTAGCTACAGCGACGTTCCTCAATATTTACCACAGAGTGTTAACTCTGGTACCCATTACCTAGAGTCGCAGCTGAATTTGAAAGCGAGTCTTATATCGACTGCGCTAACGCGGTTCCCTGATGATAATAATGATGATGATGCAAGCCCAGCATTCCATAACCTGCAAGGCTACACTGGAAAACAACAGCCCAGCTTAGACAACGCCCGAAACAAGCGGGACCCAAATAAAGAGAATGTGATAAAATAGCCGGGCGAAGAGGGGAAATACGGAGGACGAAGGAAGGCATGTCTAGTAGAATGCAGGAAGGCAAACACCTGTCCTGTGTGCGAACGGGCTATTAACGGTTGGAGAAAACACAGGCCCAGCAGCCTTTGAAGTGACGGGGAACTTGCGTCCGAATTTCACCCCCTGCACATCTCTCATCCCTGAATGCCGTTGTCTGGGGGGAAAAGCGAGTGAAAACATCAGGTCGTGCCAGGCCTGGTTATTTTCTGGTGGTGCGACCGGTCGTTCATAATCATAAGTGACAGGTTAACAGGCAAAAAACGCGTTCCCTGCAGGGGCAACCGGCATACTCAGGCTGACAAACTAGGGCCTTGCCGGAATACAAGCGATTCTTTATGTTCTTTGGCCGCGGGTAGATAACGGGTGAGATGAAGCTGTGTGAAGTGATTGAAGAGAAGCAGCCACGGAGGGAAGATAGGAAGTTTGCTCAGGTAAAGGAGTAAAGACCATCTTTCCACACTAATGCCGATTGGATTTACGGCTTTCGGCGTTTTATACTGTTCTGGACAGGAGGTGTCTATTTTCTATACGTATTTGTGTATGTAAAGGAGCAATCAAGAGGTTTTGAAAGAGGCGGGAGCCCGAAGACAACTAATCACAGACATCAGAAGGAGACAGTCATCATTTTTCGGCTATGTTATGAGAAGAGGGAAAATAGAACATGTTGTGACCACTAGAAAGATCTGTGGAAGGAGGGATAGAGAAATAAACGAGAGAAGATGCTTGACAGTCGTGATGCATGGCATGGAGGTGTGTCGGCACACGAATTGATACATGCTAATCAGTCGGCAAGGCACCTGATGATGATGATTGTGTATGTGCTAAAAGTAAAGGATACGTTTCTATGCTTTTAAGTGTACAGATCATATACGGCTAGACCTACATTTTATAGACCAATCTGCACTTCGTGGGCAATGTGTTCAGCATCAGACCGGCCGCCTTTACTTCCCAGGGCGTGTATCTGGTACCCACTCAAGACTGGGTCGACCTAATAGTCAAAAGTCTTTGGAAAAAAAAAAGAAACCCGGCTCCAACAGCACCCAAACCCACGGCCTTACAATCGCAGATATTGCCCTCAGTACCTCAGGTATTGCGTCTTAACATTGTAAAAAAAAATGCGTTTTGGCTACAGTGCCGTTTATCGTCATTGTGAATATTATGCGGTAGGGTCGCAATACTTACAGGGCCGGGCTCTCTAGCCACAGTCCGCAGTTATAATTTGTAGCTGTTCTATTCTGAAGCAGTGGTCTTCGACCGTTTTTAGGTCGCGCAACCCACTTGAGTGTATTGTGAGACTCTCACCATTACCACCGCCACCCTCCCCCGTGTGTGCAAGGCAAGGTCCTCCCCCCCCCCTTGAATATATGGCAAGACCCTCACGCCCCCTTGTGTATATGGCAAGACCCTCACGCCACCTTGTGTATATGGCAAGACCCTCACACCTACCCCTCCTTTATATATAGCAAGACCCTCACGCCCCCTTGTGTATATGGCGAGACCCTCACGCCCCATCGTGTATATGGCAAAACCCTCACGTCCACCATAAATTTATGGCAAGACCCTCACGCTTCCCCCCCCCCCCCCCCCCCCCCACACCATATAGCAAGACCGTCATCCCCCCCCCCCCTTTGAGTATATGGTAAGACCTTCACGCCCACTACAAAAAACATTGATTTTGGCTACAGCTGACAATATACTGTTTTGGTCAGAATGAAGGGATACATCTTCGGACGAGGTCAGATGGCAACCATTTCAACCTATCCAGGCTATGCTATAAAGACAAATGCAAACATGACCTGAAAGATATCAACGTTGGTTCAGACACTTGGGAGAGGTCAGCTGCAGACCGATTCCGTTGGAGGCAGACAGGGAAAGACGGACTGTCGCAGTTTGAAAGAGGCCAAACTCATGCAAGCTATAGAAAGAACAGTCTGAGAGAACACTAGTCTCAGAACGAGAGCGTTTCAACATTTTCCTGTGAACTATGTGGTACAGACTGTACTCCTACACAGGACCACTACCTTCTCCAGATGCGGTGCACAGGACTTGTACAGTTACAGCAGACACTGTTCCGAAATTCAGGGGCGTAACTTAATGATCCCTAGGGACTAATGGTTGCCTATTACTTTCGTGAACGGTTAAGACCAAATTTTAGCTTTGAAAAACAAAGACGCAAACAATATAGCATTAAAGAATGTTTTTCAAGAGGACAAAGTTGCAGAGTTCTTCCTTCCTGCTTTGGACTTTCTCAGAAGCAAACGGGCGTGCATAGCCGGCACACAGAACTTACATCATGGGAGAGGTATACAAGGGTATGACTGGCTTCAGTCTGGATTCAGTCTGGAGAGTATTCTACCCACACACACCGAACTACGTGTTACTTCGCAATCGTTTTGTGGTGGCCGCAATATAACTACTGTACTAAATTGTTAAGTCGGCGTCTCGGGCTTAAGCGTTGCGAATGCGCTTTCCTAATACTAGGGTGACGGGTCCAATCCCAGCTGAGGCGATTTGGCAACAGAACGTCTTGCGTTGGTTTCGACAGTGCTACCCATAGCCGTCAGTTCAGCAGCAATGATAAACTACTGATCGTCAAATTTGACTCGAAAAACCACAACAGTCACAAAATGCTGGGGTTGGTTCTGTAGTTCCAGTGTGGATTTCGAGGTCCCATTGTGGAGACAACAAGAATAGACCCACTGCCTCCCCAGCAAGCATGTCGTAGGAGTCGACTAATTGGGGACTTCCTTCAAAGTCGGAGTGCATCTGTCTGAACGGCAAGAAACAACCAACTGCACACAAATGAGCAAGTAAAACGGATGTACACGCAAAACGCAGGCCCTGACACAAAGCTAAAGTCTAAAATGACGAAAAACCAGGACTTTCTGCCGGACCTTACAGACAGTGAACAAAGAAGAAAAAGGTTCTGAAACGTCATGTAACATAATTTTTTTTTTTTTTTTTTTAAATATTGCTAAATAGTTCACATGATTTCCGGAATTTGTAGCTGTCCGATTTGTATCCCACAAATTCTAACCCTGTAGAACGCAAATCTAAAGGGCGAGAAGCTTAGACAAAATAATACAATTATTTAACAAATAAAGTTCTAGGTCCACTTAGATTACTTGCCAAATCAATATCTTGTCTAACTTTTGTATGTTAGTATTCTGTCCCACAGGTGTTGAGGCCAGTTTTAGGAATTGCTATTCTCTTTACTTCCATTTCACGTCTGCCTTCACATGCTATTGCACTTCAAAGATCGGACAAATTTTCCTTGTTTTATCATCTCACTGTATTATGGCATCGTCCACAGGTTTTAAGTACTTTATGTCTCCAGCCTGAAGAAGGAGGGGGAGGGGCAGAAGCAGCAGCAACAGCAGCGGAAGAAAAGAAGAAGAAGAAGAAGAAGAAGAAGAAGAAGAAGAAGAAGAAGAAGAAGAAGAAGAAGAAGAAGAAGAAGAACAAGAAGAACAAGAACAAGAACAAGAACAAGAACAAGAAATACAAGAAGAAGAAGAAGAAGAAGAAGGAGAAGAAGAAGAAGAAGAAGAACAAGAACAAGAACAAGTAGAAGAAGAAAGAAGAACAAGAAGAAGAACAAGAACAAGAAGAACAAGAAGAAGAAGAACAAGAAGAACCAGAAGAAGAAGAAGAAGAAGAAGAAGAAGAAGAAGAAGAAGAAGAAGAAGAAGAAGAAGAAGAAGAAAAAGAAGAAGAAGAAGAAGAACAACAACAACAACAACAACAACAACAACAACAACAACAACAACAACAACAACAACAACAACAACGAAGTAAGACGAGGGTCAAGTACAACCACACTAACAAAACTGACTTACAGACTTCGCTGCCGTAGGAGGCCTGCAGCATGCTGTAGCTCTGCGAGCCCTGGTGGTAGCCCGGATAGGTGGCCGCCTGCATGAAGCTGCTGGCGTTCTGCCCGTGGCCCATATAGACGCTCATGCTGTCACTGCCCTCGAGGTCGGCGCTGTTGGACGATGCTGTGGGCACCAGGTCTGACTGGCTGGCCGGTCGGGAGTCGTCGGTGCTGGACGAGCTGTCTTCTAGAGACTCTTGGTGGGAGTTGGGCGCTGGATGCACCCCGTGCTGCCGTTGCTGCTGAGCAGAAAGCCTTGAGGTATCGTAGGCGGCCGATGAATCACCAGCGTTCCTGGCAAAATAGAATTAAATTCGACAGGTGAAATAAAAGTAAAGTTTAAAAAAAAAGGGTGCTTGCTTTATTAATATCCTACCTTAAACAGGGGAAATCCACAGGTCACGGGACAGTCTAATATTTCAGGCGGTGGTAGATAGGCTGCGTGCAGCTGTGGGACCTAGGCTGCACTCTGTCGTGGGATGTAGGTAGTTTGTGGTTAGGGCCAGTTCTAGATCTTTTTCAATGACAGTGTCATATTTTACTGTCTATGACTCTTTTACTTATCGCGATACTCGTTGATAAAGACTTCGGTCAAAATGTTTGACTGTTTCTGTGCGCAATCTGTTTCTTTTTCTTCTTTTTTTTTTTTTTAATACCTCTTTTATTTTTTTAGCTTCCGGTTTGTCTTTAATGGATTTGCTTCTTGATACCAGCTTCATATCATTAACCCATATTTATAAATCATAATGCACAGCAGGAATTCAGCATGAAGAATAAACATAATCAAGAAAAAAAATAATGTCACAAACGCGAATACAGACAAACTGGACAAAGAACACGTCTCCCGTGTTCCAGGTAAGGAAACTTCACTCGCTCTGAACCAAGAACATGACTTCTTCAGAGTATCACGACTGCCTAGACGTCGAGACTGTCGTCGTGTGGCCTGCACATCCGAGGGTCCCAGGTGAATCTATCTGTGCCATGACGTTTGTTAGCGTCAGGGAACAGCAAGCTGGAGACAGCTTGGAGAATATATGACAGTACCAGTCGTGGTCATTGTTAGACATACGCAGCACAAATGATTTGCTAGAATAGACGGCACAATTTACTCAGACATACCACATTGTCGTTTGTCAAAAAAGTGCAGTATATCATGTTATCACTTAAAGGAAGTGAACAGTTTGCGACAGGGTTAAATTACGAAGAACTAATCGGACAAATAATTGTTAAAGTCAAAAAGTGACAACTCATATTGGCATATGACGGTGATAGCAAATGTGCACACAAAAAGAAATGACAGTGACAAGCTTTGTTTGTTTTTCCAAAGTGAACTGAATATTATCAGTCATAAAGATGACAATAATAAACAAATTGTACAATTATAATTCAACAAAACTAAAATAACGAGACATATTATTATGAAAGATCACATTTTACAGCTGAGTGGTTTTGTAAAATACTAATCTAAATCTTGCACCAGAAAATGGCATATGCGATCATCTGGAATCAGAAAAGACATATGTGGCAAAGGTAATATATTAGATTAGTAATAACAAGAAAATGACGAGAGTGCAATGGTAAATAAATCAGATTATTATGAACCAGAAAATGACATATGCTGTGATGGTAACACATTGGATTATTAGGAAATAGAAAGTCCTATGGTGATACTAAGACATTTTAACTATTATAAAACCATGAAAATGACATAACCAAGCGATGATGGTATAATATTACACAATTCTTCACCAGTGGTTAACACAGCAGAGTAACGAGAGGTAAAATACAAGACGTCAAGGAACTAAAAAACGACATACGTAGTGGTGGTAGAATATCAGGTTGCTATCAGGACAATATTTAAGTAGAAATGACGAGACATTAACTATTAGGAACCTGAAAATAACATACCCACGCTGCAATATAATAATAATAATAATAATAATAATAATAATAATAATAATAATAATAATAATAATAATAATAAGAAGAAGAAGAAGAAGAAGAAGAAGAAGAAGAAGAAGAAGAAGAAGAAGAAGAAGAAGAAGAAGAAGAAGAAGGAGAAGAAGAAGAAGAAGAAGAAGAAGAAGAAGGAGGAGGAGGAGGAGGAGAAGATGAAGAAGAAGAAAGGATTATTTTTTAGATGTATGAATGTATGCACCCACTGATGTCTTTGGGAATATTACTGTTCTTTTTTTTTTTTTTTAGTAGTACTGATATCTTTAAGAATATTACTGTCATCAGGATTACTGATGTCTTTAGAAGCAGTACTTATGTTTTTATAAATTTTACTGTCATTAGAAGTAGTACTGTTGTCTTTAGGAATATTATGTCATAAGGAGTCTGACTAATAACTTTACGCATTTTAGTGTCTTTAGGAGTCGTAATGTCGTCAATGGAATATAAGTGTCAGTACGCGTATGTATTGATGTCTCTAGGATTAGGAGTGATGACTGTAGAAGTAGTAATGCTGTCTTTAAGAGTGGTAATGATGTGTTTAGGAATATCAGTGTCATTAGGAGTATTACTGATGTCTTCAGAAGTTGTATTCATGAACTTAGAAGTAGTAATGATATATTTAGAAGTAGTATTAATGACTTTAGAAGTAGTGCTGATGTCTTTAGACGTCGTATTAATATCTTTAGAAGTAGTATTCATGACTTTAGAAGTAGTGCTGATGTCTTTAGAAGTCGTATTAATATCTTTAGAAGTAGTATTCATGACTTTAGAAGTAGTACTGATGTCTTTAGAAGTCGTACTAATATCTTCAGGATTATTACTGTCTTTAGGGACAGTAATATCTTTAGAAATAGTACTGATGTCATTAGGGCTAGTACTGATGTCTTTAGACATAGCACTGATGTCTTTAGACATAGTACTGATGTCTTTTGGGACCCGCAGACGACCTAATAGCCGCTACATCACGACGGCTCTCAACCGACAGACAGAGTAGCTTTCCCTTTACTACCAGAACATTACACACAATCAGCATCATCATCATCGACATGTGTCTACTAACAAATGTCCGCGAAGAAAGGGTTGGGAGTCGATGATTTGTTCTTGTCAAGGTGAAAGTCTTTTGTTCGACCCCTCCTGGACACAAAGTTACAGTCAAACAGTGGAGAGCCCGGTAACCCTGGGAGGTCCAGCAAACAGACTGTAGGCAACGTGAGCTGACCCACCGGACGGTCAGTCTGGAGCTAAACTATGTGTACATAAGCCGTTGACACGGCCGCCGCGAACAGCAATGTTTAACCACGCGCTAATCAACGTCCTTCCGTGTTTGGTTAAACATATGGCCTAATGGGTAACAGGCTAATCCATGCGCGCTGGGCTGGCCTGGGCTTAAGAACTGACAGACACTGCGGCTCTCTGGGTTTTTCCTATCAAAAGATACCACAAATGACTATTTTTCAAGCCTTTCAGGCGTATTTGGTATATAAGGCTAGACCTATAATTTATAGACCAAACGGCTTTTGGCAGGTGATGTGGTCTGCATTACACTGGTCGCCTTTACTTCCCAGGACTGCACCTCGTACCCACTCAAAGCTGGGTTGACCTAGGAGCCAAGGTCATTTCTGAAAAAAGCAAAAAAATCCGGCTCTGGTCAGGAACCGAACCGATGACCTTCAGAACATCAGGCGAGATACTAGGCGCTAGACCACGGCGGCTCTCTTGTTCCTGACAAAGCTATGTTCCAACATTCAGCATATAGCGAAATTCCTAAGCAATGACTGTGTCGCAATCTATGAACGTGTTGCCTGTTCTCTGAGCGTGGGTCAGTTTCCCTGGTCACCCACCAGAGCCCTGACTAGCAATCTGCCGCGATATCAAGTGAGTTCCGGGGCCCTATTATAGGGAAAACAAGAATAGACCCACTGCCTACCCAAAAGCATGTTGTAAGAGTCGACTAATTGGCAGCCTCCTTCGAAGTCCGAGTGCCTCTGTCTGAGAGGCAAGAAATCAACAGTCTGCACACAGATGTGTCAGATCTGTCAAATGGATGCACATGTAACACTCAGGTTCTGGAACAGGACTGCAGTCCAGAAGTGGACAAACAACCAGATCTTTCCGCCAGAGTTTACAGTTGGTGAAGGCAAAGAAGAAAGAAGAAATCCAAACTTAAAATTGATTTCCAGTCTTCTAAATCCCGCTGGCTTTCGGTATTAGGGTATTAGGTTCGAATCCGCATCTACAATTCTGACATACGTAGATTGATACAGACTACACTTCTGATTTTAGTAGTTTCATAGTCCACAATTTTGACGCACGTAGATTGGCACAGTCTACAATTCTGCCTTATGTAGATTGGTACAGTCTACAATTTTGAACTATGTAGGTAGGTAGTCTACAATTTTGAGCGATAGGTTGGGACAGTCTACAATTTAAATCTACGTAGATTGGCAATAAAATTACATATGTTCACCCTGATTGCTTTATCTCGAATCTAACCGTTTAACGATAATGATTCGCCCGGCACTCTAGCGTAGTTGGTTAAACCTAACATCGCGGTGACCGGGTGACGAACTCCGTGTGGTCCGGGTTCACTCCCGGGGGGTAGGCAGAAAAGCCACATTTCTCCCAGATTTACGGTATCTATCATGGAATCAAGGCCGAAGGATTGCGATATCCATAGTACCCAGCCACAGGGTTAACAACTCATGGTTTCTGAATATTTAAAAAAAAAAAAAAACGATAATGATTCTAGTCTAACCATTTAACGATAAAGATTCCAGTCTAACCGTATAGACATACATATTCTAGTCTAACAATTCACTGATAAAGAGTATAGTCTAACCATTTAACGATAAAGATTCCAGTCTAACCGTATAGACATACATATTCTAGTCTAACAATTCACTGATAAAGAGTATAGTCTAACCATTTAACGATAAAGATTCCAGTCTAACCGTATAGACATACATATTCTAGTCTAACAATTCACCGATAAAGAGTATAGTCTAACCATTTAACGATAAAGATTCCAGTCTAACCGTATAGACATACATATTCTAGTCTAACAATTCACCGATAAAGAGTATGTCTAACCATTTAACGATAAAGATTGTAGTCTAACCGTATAGTCAAA